GACTGTGGTTCCACCTCAGGAACTGGAGAGACCACCGACTGTGGTTCCACCTCAGGAACTGGAGAAACCACCGACTGTGGCTCTGTCTCAGGAACAGGGAAAACCACCCATGGAGGCACATGTTCAGTCTCTGAGGTGGCTTGAAGCATCTGTAGAGGGCTCTTGGCGGTTTGTGGCCCCTGCTGAGAGGCTCTTGGAGGCATATTTTCACCAACTCCGAACTCAGAAGCCCACTTAAGTTTATGCTCAGGGGTCTCTGGACGGCACAGGGCAGGCTCAGGGGTCTCTGGACGGCACAGGGCAGGCTCAGGGGTCTCTGGACGGCACAGAGCTGACTCAGGGGTCTCTAGACGGCACAGAGCTGACCCAGGGGTCTCTAGACGGCACAGAGCTGACTTAAGGCGACGCCGTTTCTTACGCCGAGGGGTCTTTGGAGCTAAACTAACAGGATTACCGGCTGATTCTGGCAAGAGGCTAACTGGTTGAAAGATAAGAGTTCCAGAATGGATTACTGGTTCTGGGGCTAGGTAATCAGGCATGGGAACAGGTTTAGAAACAAAGGTGACGGGTTCAGGTGTCTGGTCTGGCTGGCGGGGAACTCTAACTGTTTGATGTGTAACTGGTGGGCCTATTTTGAGTCCTTTAACGGATGGAGCTAAGTGAAGATCAAGTACATGAGAGCTGAGACTAACCTGGCGCGGAAGGGAACTGGAAACCTGAGTCTGATGCTGTACGGCTCTGGGTCTAGTTTGCAGTTCAATATCAATCCCAACTGCTAGCTCTATGAGATCCTCAAGGTTAGCTGGCTCATCGTAAAAGGTTAGCTCGTTTCTGACGGGTTCATTTAGAGCATGGAGAAAAGCGGTCTTAAGTGCCGACTCGTTCCACCCGGAAGCGGCTGCTTTAATCAGGAAATCAGAAGAGAATTCGGCAACGGTTCTATCTCCCTGTTTGGTTTCTAGAAGAACACTGGAAACGATGGAATTATTAGAGGCTTGATTAAAAGTCCTTTCTAACTCCTGGATGAAATCCTCATAAGTACAGTTAACTCTGGTCTTAAATGGAAATCTGGTCTCTGCCAATTCAAGGGCTTTTCCGGACAGGAAAGACACGACAAAAGATATCCTACTAATATCATACAGGAAATTTGACTCATAAAATTCAAAAAATAGCCGACACTGAAATAGAAATCTCCTGAGCTTACTTGGATTGCCGGAAAATCTCTCAGGCAGAGAAGGGCTGAGTGAAGAAAACGACGGGCTGGATTCTGACCAGAAAGGAAGATTATTATCTTGACTAGGAAGTGACGTCACTGCCGGTGACCTACAGTAGGAAACGGAAGTGGATTCGGAGCAGGACGTGCCGCTGACGTGGCGTTAGCATTATCCAAGTAGCTAGCGAAAGTTTGATTCTGCTGTAACTCACGGAGGGTTTGTGCATGTCCATGGATCTGAGCGTCCCGTTCCTCAATCCACCGACAGAGGTGATCTGCTGGGCTTTGTGTTTGGCCGCAGTGTTCTGTTATGATGGGTCTCTGAGTTTAGCCCAAAATGCAAAACACACATGGAAACGGGGTAAAAGTTCAACAGAGTTTATTAATAAAGCACAAAACACAAGGACATAAACTGGGTCTGGAACTGGTCCAAGCTGGATC